GGTCAATCCCCCCCCCCCCCCTTGACAAATGTCTGGATCTGCCCCTGGCTTAAGGATTACTATCGTAAATCAAGAGTAATACAGAATAACATGGAAAAGAAATCAAAGTAAAAAATTTAGAAAATTCTCTAAAACCCCGGATGTTCATAATTATCCGGACGCTTTTGGAAACCCTGGTGAAAAAGTTTCGCTGAAATTATTCCACGTATTGGAACATTTCAGCGAAATTGCTGAAAATTTGCTGAAACTTCACTGAAAGTGAATTTTTCAGCTAACATACTGAAAAATCACTGATATCCAACCGAATTTCTCTTAAATTCTTGTTGAAATTTGTCTGAAAATTAAACTGAAATTTTGTTGAAGTGTTCCAAAACGTGGAATAATTTCAGCGACATTTTTCCACCAAGGAAATCCCTCCCGCACGTCCCTGAACGTCCTAAAAAAAGAGAACGGTGTGGGGGGGGGGGGCGAATCTCAACCATGGTGGAAGAATTACATGGCTGCGTTCGGGAATTATGTCTAGATAACTCTAGGGTACATTTTTGCTATAATATATGCAACGTAACCTATAGCTTAGAGTTATCTGGGCGTAATTCCTGAACGCAGCCCATAGTATGTGCAGTTCGGCCAAACCACGCCTACTTTTACTCCACGTCAATAATGTGCAAGGGCTACCAAGTGTAAAACGCGAAACATGGGACGTCATAACTCATTCAGTTGAATGCGCGTTCCTTTTGCATTCTAACAAGTGAGATTCAACTAAGTTTTTCCCCATAATCTGCACAAGATCGAGACCGTGTGCTTTCGTGAGTCTCGTAAACTCACTTCAAAGTGAGGTTATAAACCTATATATATTCGATAACTTTTTCATCAAAAAAGCAAGAATAAATTGATAAAAGAATTGTAATTTTTAATAAATAATTGGTGATTATTTAGAATACGAGCCTAACCTTTGATTATACCTTTTATTATTTAATTTGAGGTTAGTGAGAATTTCTCATTTCAGCGCGTTCCTTTTTATACTGAACGATGATGTCATTATCTGAGTTTGAAATACTCAGCTCACTTCGGACTCAGTTTCACTTGTGTGTAAAAGGAAAGCAGCTAATATCTCGTTCGCGAGGCAGAGCAATACTTTTTTCTGCCAGATTCTTTCGTCTCATGCAAAAACGCATCGATTGAGTATATTTTTATCAAAATTTAAGGTGAGAGGGGTCTTCTTAACATTTACCCCTTTTTTTGCTCAAGGTTTTCTCTGCTGAACACAGCCAATCAATAGGCCTGTTCTTTTTGGCTGAACTTTTCCACCAGTTCATCTTTCTTCCTTTTCTCTCCAGGAGGAAAGAAGAGGAAGATGAACTGATGCAAAAGTTCAGGCAAAAAGAACAGGCCTATAGGAAGATAAAAGTCGTAGCTTGTATCACTGTCATTCTAACATTTTCTAAGCCCCATGCGCCCTGAGCCAATCACGAGTGATTCGGATCACGTGTCAAGTTGGCGACTCTGATTATAGGTTCTAGTCCATAGACGGAGAGGGTAAAGATTTAGAAAGAGACTGTCCAACTGCACACAGCGGCCCGTATTCAGAACACGCTTTTATGGATAAAAGTTTTTATCTCTAAAATTCTATAATATGCGTGACGTAAAATATAGTAAGTTAACGCGATAACATCATTGAGAGAGTTCAAGTCGGCAAAGCGGCTAGATCTGTTTGCCGAGCGAATGAGCATGATTGATTCTTACCAGTGGATCCAACCAATCATGTTTAATTGCTTGGCGAACAGATCTAGCCACTTTGCTAAATTGAACTCGCCCATTGTAAGCGCGTTCTGAATACGGGCTACCATGGCTATGTTCTAAAATTGACTGCCTGTACTAAAAATCTATAGTGCACGTAAACTATCGCATTTTCAGTGTTGGCAGCAAATTTGGAACACGGCCCATGTTATCCTTTCCATCATGATCGCAACCCTCAATTTGAGTGAAGTAGTTTTGGCAAACAAAAATAAAATTCCTAGTAAAAATATTAAATAAAAATTGTCGTATTATAAAATAAATAGGATTAGTGATCATTGTGGAATATATGCGATAAGAATGATTGCTCGATTTCCATTTTGATGTTGATGCTGCAATATATTTGAAGCTCAAATAAAATGCGCGTAAAATAATACAATCTCATGATAATGATGTAATTCGTACACATAATTCTACTTTTGTCGCATGTTATAAAATACGTACGTTATAAGTTCCGAGGCCCAACATCGGCATTTTGTATCCATTCGAAAATGTGATTGTCGGAATACCAGCCATTGTTATCGCCGACTGCAGATAGATAGATGTATGCAACAGGAAGTGTATGAAAGGCCGTCAAAGCAACAGTACAACCGAGTCCTTGACTATTATGAAACACTTTGGATAAGTTATCGTTTAACACAACTCACAATATCGATAGGCACACAATACTGCGTGTTGCGGTGCGAGAATTATTATCCGGAAATAAAAGACTAACAATGAATAAGGTAATTCTCTACTATATATCTCTCGAATGTCACCACACCTCACGAGCTCCCACCAGGCTGACCGGCTGATCAGGCTCACCAGTAAGATCGTCGAATCAAAATAAACTGTACGCATACATGTAAGAACACAGACACACGACTGCGCCTTGGTCCCTTGGTGGCTGCGTTCGAAAACACTACCAGAGTACCTCTGAGTAGTTCAAGTATTATTTTATCCTTATTTAAGATTCGGTGCACAACAAAGATAAAATGATATTTGGATCGGCATTTGGGTAGTATTTTCGAACGCAGCCTTGTCAGATATATATATAAGTATATGTATAGTAATAGCTTTATGTAATAGGAGGGATAAAAGAAAGGAATAGAGAGAAAGAGAGAGAAACAGAGAGACAGAGAGATATGAACTACATTGACGAAAAAAATCGATGCAAATATATATTATGGCCCGTATTCAGAACGCGCTTTTATCTCTGAAACACTCTATAATATGCATGACGTAAAGTATAGTATGTTAGCGCGCTAACATCGTTATAAGCGCGTTAACATCGTCATAAGCGCGTTTTGAATACGGGCCATTATGTATGTTTAAGCATTATATTGAATAGATAACCGCGAATATTGCTCGAATTTAAAGCTGAGAAACACATCTTATTACATTTTTTAAATTAGATAATATTTATATAATTTAATAATTTCTTTAATTATTAATTATAAGATTATAGTATATAATACAATTTCCACGAATTTACAAAACGTATCTCTCTCTGTAATAAATTCATTTTTTCTAAAATCGCGATAATTATTACGAAAATGTATTTTGAGCTATCTAGAAATCAGAAAATTCGTTTCACGCACGTATAACACAACACATGAAAAGTTCCACGTACCTTACCAGTACAATATTAATTTCTACACTCTCATCTATGATTTCACGCGTTTTATGTACATACGTCGCAATGATTTTCTGCTGATTCATTCGTGCTATTTATTAGACGGATATTATTACATAATTCGATTTACAGTTTCACCCATTCCTTTCATTTTTAATCGATTATAAGCGAAAGAGAAGAGTCACGTTTATAATCTCGTACAGCAAAGAGCGATAATGGTATCTCTTATTTTCTTAGATCTTCAACGAATTGCGAGACATGTAATATTTAACTCTAGATTATAAATAATGCTACAATATTGAAAAAATACTTTACGATACTATGATATGCTATTCGCGATATATTATATCTTGCGTTTATATAATATAATAATAAAAAGTATTCGGTTGTGTATGCAACTTAGGATTTATTCTGCATAAGCCGATATTGTACAATCATAGATTCGGTGATTAGATTGCATCAAAAATTTAAAGAGGCTCTTATAGATGTTCAATATATTATATATTATAATAATATTGTACAATTATTTTATATAGTATTATATTGAGACCCCTACCTAAATAATTTAAAACAACAGTTTGGAGACTCTACACAGCTTCCAGATGATCAAATATTGTGCAATAATATTGATTGTCTAGGAGCCTTTTAAAACACATTTGCCAGTTAGACGCTTTCAGTTAAAATTCCAAGTGGAAAGGATAATCCTTGTGTGTTTTATATCTGAAAAAATAGAAAATTATTTAAATGTTCAAAATATACTATAATGACATTTTTTTAAAAAATAATTAAGTATACTGTTCAAACTGCACTATACGTCCGCCACAATCAAATTTGTCAATTGTGGCAATTTCTTCCGGAGTTAACTTAAAATTAAAAATGTTAATATTCTGTTCGATACGCTTCTTTGAACTGGATTTTGGGATTGGTATAGTATCAATATCAACCTGTTCGTAAAAAATTATTGTTGAATTATTCAATCTATAAAGTGTCTTAAAATCAATGGGTACCCCTTTAATGACAAGTTTTCTTTGACCAATTTGAGAAATCAATTTTTCCTTATCAAAAATCATTTATCATTGCAACTTTCCAATTTTTTGCATCATACATATTTTTAACTCCTATGTTTCTAATTAAGATTTTCTTTAAATAACATTTCATTTGAAAATAATTGGAGAACGTCATCTTGATATCCATTTGGTTTTCTAAAATTTGCGAATTTAATTCCTTCTTTTCTAATTGCTTATAAATAAAAAATAAATAATTAATGTCTCAATATTTCCGTAACGAAAAGATCATCTCTAAATTGGTCAAGGATTATATTATATCATTAAACTTCATTAAAGAGACACCCAGTAGCCACGTGCAGCATTAATTAACAATAGCACATCTTACCAAATATCTCAGAATAACTTGTGCGGGAGTTTTGCCGTATTTAGCGCCAATATTTACAATTTCAGGTGCATGAAGGACAACTTTCAGATCGCCAGGTTTAGCCCAAGGCCAATTAGGCGAACCAAACGGACTATAAGCTGTGACAGCTATGTCACGACTCGCACAAAAGTCTCTCAATTTTCTCTGATTCAAATTCGGATGGCATTCCACCTGATTCATTACCGGCTTTATTTGGGCAATCGATAACACGCGGTCGATCTGCTCGGAATTAAAATTGCTGAGGCCAATACTCCTCGTTAAACCCAATTTCATGCACTCCTCCATACCGCACCACGTGTCAAGGAAATCCTCGTGTCCAAACATCGGATCGCCGTTTTCGTCAACCGGTATTATTCCGTCGGCATTTTCCTAAAATAATCGCAGCATAAGCAGGAACGATAATGCTCACGATTTTAATTTTTACCATAATGCGAAACTCGTTTATAATATAATTTTCGCATTGCACGATATTTAAAGCTAATCTAAAATGTTTGCTTTCTGTTTCTTGCTTTTTACTTCTTACCTTTTTTTCTCTTTTTTCTCTTCGCTACATTTTTATCGACAATCGTATTTCTTGTCATGTATTTCTTGTCTTTCAAAATCAACAACTTTTACCTCGGATGCAAAAAACAATGAAACAGAATAAAAGACAAAAATATAAGAGAAAAAAGTACTAAAAAGCAAGAAATAGTAAAAGGCACACTGAAAATTAGCCTTTATTCTTATCTTTCATATTATAGACGTATTGTACATCAATAACGGTATGATATTATCGATTTTTATCTAATGACTACAATCGCGTAACACCTTCTTAAAAAAGTCATAGCGTTAAAATGTTGTATGTGGGTTTTTTTTACAATAAGCCATTTTTCAATTATATCATACTAGTGATAACTTAGAATTATGAGTCATAAATCTTAAGAAACTTACATCCAGAATAAATCATATTAGATCGTTACATCACAATATTTTAACCAATCAGAAGCCCAAGTAGCACGTAGCGCTTACAAAGAGTTAACAAAGCGCTAAAAAGCGCATATAATCGCTTTTTTAGCGCTTTGTAAGCGCTGTTGTGCTACTTATTGGGAGGGTGGCAAGGAAAATAACAATATACTATGTGATTGGTCAGTCATGATGTAATCTAAGTTTTAAATTGTTGAAGTGATTGCATGAAAATAAATTGTACAAAAAATGAAATTCTTATACAATTTATCTTCACGCAATCACTTCAACAATTTAAAATTGCAGACTCATCGTTGCTTATGAGACATTGACTTGTTTACAACTCGTCCCTGATTTCTAATCTATTACCCAGATAGCAAAGCGTGTCTCGATCAGCAAACTTACACAAATCTGTGATTACTTATGATGCTGTCAATTTGCCGTAATTTGTCTTCAACGATTTCGAATATACCGACATTGTAGCAACATGCAGGCAACAATGTATATGTATATATATATATATATATATTACCAGCAGTTTAACGGCAAGATAGCTGCATCAATGTCACTTTATTGCATTGTCGGCAATATAACAGCATTGTGTGATGCTGCCCAGACAACATCGTGTCCAAAATGCGGACATAAGACGTCTCAAAGACATCTTAAAGGTTGCTTTAAGACGTCTTATAATATGATGTCTTAAAGCAATCTTTAAGTATCTTCAAGATGTCTTATATCCGCATTTTTTGGACGTAATATTGTCTGGGTGCATATTATTATGCCAATGATAATAAGTACGAATTTTGATGATGACGATTTTACAGTTGTCAGTAAATTGCTGGCAAGTTGCTTCTTAAAGTTGTCATATCATGAAGGCATCAATAAATGAGGACTCAGTTGCTGCAATTCTCGTAGCAACATATACTTAGCAAGCAACATGCCAGCAACAAGACAGACACGTTATCATCTAGATACTAACAGCTTATATACTCTAAAATGTCCATTAAATTTACCGCATAAGATATGGGCCAGTGTATCAGGTAGAGATCAACGTAACCGAGTCCAAAATTCTCTACAGATCTTCGGCAAGCCGGTACCACGTTGTCTCGTTTATGGAATGTGTTCCACAACTGAATAAAAACGATCAATTTTATTAATATATCGGAATATTCAGACAAAGGGATAACGTGAATGTACCTTAGTAGTAATGAAGAGATCTTCTCTCTTCACGATCCCTTTCGCGATCTTCTCACGTAGGACTTTGCCAATTTCCTTTTCATTCTGATAAATGTAAGCACAATCGAAATGTCGATATCCAGCATCGATAGCATCGTGCACGGCTTGTTCGACAATCTTTGGATCATCCTAAAACAAAATTAAATTAATTAAATTATAAAATTTCAGACGATGCTATGTATTTAGAAATTTCTTTATCTTGGCAGATAGAAAGAAAGCATCTGAAACTAGCCTAATGAAAATATTATATTAATTCATAAAAGATAAAGCTATATTGAAATCATCACAATTTCTTAATTTTTTTATAGTAGTTATCAGGGTTGGGTAGTGCTAAATTAAAAAGATAAAAGTTAAGTTAAAAAGTTAATTAATTTTAACTTAGTTACATTTTAGACTCTTAACTTTTTAACTTAATTTAGTTACATTTTATCGCGCGCGGTAACTATTAACTTTTAATTTGATTTCTTTTAAGTTAATCCTCAGACACAATGCGAGAGGATAATGAGTATATAATTTAGTAATTTTATATTGTATAATCATTACTTGTGAACAAAAATAACCAGATTCTTTAATAAATATGCTGTGAAAAAGGAAAAATACGAAAAATTATGTCAAACTATTTCTTTTTCTTTTTTTTTTTTGGTTGTTCGTTCGAAGCAAATTTATCTTTTAACTTTTCAATTACTTTTTTTATTAACTTAACTTTTAATTTAATTAATTTCATTATGGATTAACTTTTATTTTAATGAAGTTAAATTTTCAAGGCTGTTAACTTTAACTTAACTTAGTTAAAAAAAAAAAAGTTAACTTACTCAACCCTGGTAGTTATCAATTACAAGAGTTGGTTCAGCAAGCTGTTTAGATAATCAAATTGTTTACGTGTGCATCGCAGTTTCATTAGTACATGATCACGAACTTTGCGTTATCACTGACATTGAAAGAAAGATACCATCTGATCTTTTTCATTACACACCCAATGATGTCAGTATGACCAATCTAAACGCTCGTTTCTACAATGTACTTGGTAAAACTCTAAGAGCAAGTGAATGATCAGTCAAAATGAATAAAATGCAAGTGTAACAAAAACCGAAAATTAAGCCTGTTATGTGACATTGCACGGAGAGCAACGTCATATATAGCTACACATATGAGCTACACATATGCTCTAAAAATTTGAGTGAAAAATTCATTTCTATCTTATGAGTGTCCACATTCACTTAAATTAAAGTGACATTCCTCTCTTTTGAAGTGATTGCGATTACTTTAACATACTAAGAGATATAAAACCACTCTATGAAATTTATATCCGATTCAATAAATGTAAAAGTCATCACATGTACAAAAATTTTAATTGTAATCGTAAGGCCGTAAGCAAATCAGCCAATCACAGTCGAGCGTTTTAAAACATGAGATCGTAATTTTGATTGTGATTGGTCGATTTGCTTGAGACATTACGGTTGCGACTAAAATTGTTGTACATGTATGACCTTAAAATTAATTTTAATCATGATTCAATTTATTTTTTATCTTTTTCTAATTCTTAGATTTAGACAAAATGAAGAATAAATTGAATCAAGATTAAAATTAATTTTATATTTGTAGAACCGGGTCTTAAGAATATATAAGATTAATTTTAATCTTGATTTAACTCTTCATATATCTTTTTCTGAATTACAAAATAATGAAAAGTGGATTAAACCAGCATAAGAATTAATTTACATTGGTAAAAACGGATATAAATCAAATTTCTTTGAGAGAACCTGCTGTTTTATTTTACTGCTATATATAGTATACACTTACGCCTGCCTGCCAAGTACCAAGCCCGAGTACGGGAATCTTTACACCGTTGTTCAAAACTGTAGTCTGCGCTGCCATATTTCGACAAACTAAAGATTTATCTTACCAAGCAATAACATAAAAGTTCTATTCTTGGTAGTAGACGGATATAGCGGCCTGTTATCAATGACATATATATGTATATTACTTAATATTACTGTATGTATTTATACCAGCGTGGTATACATATACAGGGTGTCCCATTTTAAATAATGCATTAAGATTGCTCGAAAACTATGGTAGATACGGAAAAATGTTTCAAACAAAAGTTTTATAACTTTGAGGAGAGCATAAGATGGAACATTTTTTAAATGGAATTCCCCATTTTTTATTACATATTCTTATAGCTTACTTTGAGAGTTTTTCAAAACATTATAATAAAATTATTTTTCATTAAGTACTTTTCGAATTATAAGGCTTGAAAGTTACAGTACCGCCGGCATTAGCATTACGCAAGATGTCCAATCGATCGGACAGCTAAAACCTCTTGAATGTTGTTCAGGATTATATCCTGGATAACATTTGTCAAGATCAAAATCATTGGAGGTTGTACCTCTTATTTTCATTTTTATGTAAAAATGAATTCTTAGTGCAAAAATGAAAATAAGAGGAATAATCTCCAATGGCTTTGATCTTGACAAATGTTATCCAGGACATGATTCTGAACAACATTCAAGAGGTTTTAACCGTCGATTGAATACCTTGCGTAATGTTAATGACGGTGATACTGTAACTTTCAAGCCTTAATTATAACTCGAAAAGTACTTAATGAAAAATAACTTTATTATAGTGTTTTGAAAAACTCTTGATACTAGCTATTAAATTCTGGTATCAAAAATATGGTGTTCCATTTAAAAAAATCGATGTGACCTTGACCTGATCTTAACGACACCACCCAAGGTCAAATCAATGGTATCTTCTTATGTCCCTCTCCAAACCATACAACTTTTGTTTGAAACATTTTTCTGTATCTACCATAGTTTTCGAAAAATCTTAATATATTATTTAAAATGAGAAACCCTATATTAACATAATCCAATCTGGAAGAATATTAAAATTACATTCCATAATAACTCAAATTATGTAAGTGACAGATTATATATTATCGGAAATTTTAAGCGGGGTTATGTGTCTAATACATCTCACAAGAGCTATATTTATATTTTATTTGAAAAGTCAACTTCGAATGAGCTAAATAATAAAAAATTTACAATAGTTCAACACCTTAACGTTCTGACCGTTATGGCGCTTCTTAATTTAAAATTATTATGTTTAACATTAGCGGTCTTTCAATCTTATTATTAAATAATAAAAGACGTTTTTTTATAATCTTTTCTTTTTTAAATGTTCTTGTCGAGATTTGGATTTTACAATAAATGTGATGATGATAAAAGTATAATGATAAAAATGCACAAAAACAACAATTTTATAAAAAAAATATTTTATTATATAAGACGTATTTGCAACAATGCAAAAATTTCTTACAATCTTAAATAACAATATGCAGTATCGTATAAATATACAAGGACATCGCATATCTCTATCAAAAAATTATTTGTCACCTGCCTGATTGCGTAAATACATATATGAATAATTTTATAAAAGCTGTTCGTTGTGATTTTTCTATTTTTTTTAATGCTGATTCTATAATGAGTCTGTAGTCGAAAGTCTTAGTCTTAATTGATGAAGTTAGCCAATCAGCGTTAGTTGTACAAGTTGGTTATTGGTCAACTTCACCGATAAGACTTAGGACTATCGACTACCGACTCATTGTAGAATCAGCATAATGTATATTAACCCAGAATAACTGTTCAAGATATTAAAATACATCGAGCATAAATAACTGGATACTCTTTGTTCACATTATTGTACTATCTGCTGTTCCACCATCGCTGATTTTTTTTTATTGTTTTTATTTTGATTTCTCACTTTTTTCGAATCATTCGCTTTATTTTCAAGATCAACCCTAGTTCTCGAACGGACGCCAGGTCCCCAATTTGCAGTAGGGTTCTGTTGAAAGCGAGACAAATGCCTTTGCCGAGAAATTGGATTGGCAAGAGGATGCATAGCAAGCGAGATATCCATCGTGGACGATGCATTAAGTATCCGTGTAGCTGGGCTATCCTCAGCCAATTTCTCCCGTTTTACAGGGTGTTTTTTTTCCCAGGCACGCACAATATCCCATATAACATCATTTGGCGCATCCGTTTTGATAGAAATTTTACTTGCATGTGAGTATGACACCTTGTATCCCGCATTTAATAATGCTGATCTGAACATCAACATTGGTGGAACATGACACCTAACTATAGACATCAAGCGATCTAGATTATAATACAAAGGAATGTCTAGTTCTTCATGTATCACGGTCAGGACACCCTCCATTCTTTTCGATGTACCCAACTCCATGTTATTCAAGTTGCATAATAATCGCGACACGAATCCGTGATCGTGTAAAGGACCTAGCCATATTGGACCTCCCATGTGCTGCCTATGTTGACAATGTTTACATAACTGATCTATTATGGGTGCACTTGGTAATTTGTAATTCTTGGCAGCCTTTCTTACCACTAATGGTTGAAAATTCATACTCTCGCATCCATTACATTGATAGAGCATTCCTATCTTATTGGAATTCTCTTTGCACTTGTCATGACTCGTGAAGACCTTGACAAACACTCTTATATAAAAATCAACGCTTATAGACAATAATGGTACTATGTACCGTCCATAACGTCCTGCATAGGACGCGATGCATTGTAGTAATATTCTCAATGCTATCTCATGGCATGATTTCGACTTTATGGATATTGCTCCATATTTGTAGTAACAAGTTTCTGGAACATTGCCAGCCAGAATAGCCACATCAGTAGCGGTAACTAGAAGTATGCCACCATCGGACACACACTGCACCGCACCATCCAAGTACATCGAGGGACAACCGTAGGGGTCTAAATCAACCGCGTCGAAGCGATTTCTTCTGCGTTGATACATCAACAGCGTTGCGTCCTCGTGATAAGGAGTTACCAAATTTTCAACTCCATTATGTAAAACATTCTGCCTGATACTATCTACTGCCTTCGCAGAAATGTCATTTGCAATAATCTGCCGGACACCCTCCACTTCCTTGGCATATCGTATGCTACGCAAACCAGTCGCAGATAAAGCTTCCAATATAGTAATTCCCCTCTGGTTTTCTACATTATGTGATATACTGATTTTATCGTCTTTCTCCAATTTGTTTTTCTGCGGCACTTCTTCGTTATAGTCCTTGGCAAATATCGTTAGTACTGCTATACTGAGATCCCTATTGAATTCTTGAACTGGATTATAAAACACCTTTTCATTTGTTACCAATATCTGTGCCTTTCCCTCATTCACAGTGGGAACCTCTTCAAGTTTCAACTTCTTTGGGCATTGCTCGTTATCCATACTTGCATATGTAACACTAAAACGAATATGTGTGTTATATGTACGTACAAATATTTTAAAAGGAGATTATATTAAAAAATAAGTTGAATTTTCGTTAGAAAAAAAGAAGTCACTGACTTATCAAATTGTCCACGCATTTGTTAAGAGATATATTGAAAAATATATAAAAAATTTATATATATATAGAGAGAGAGAGAGAAAGAGAGGTTGTCTGAAATTTACATATCAAAATATTTTACAGTAAGAAAATTTTCGAAAAAATAAATTATAAATATATTTGCCATTTACTATTCTGAGCAGTAGTTTTCGAGACAAAAGTTAAATACTGGTCAATTATAAATTACAACTCGTTTAATCGTAATCTGTAATTAGCTAGTTTTTAACCTTTATATATTTTAAAAATTACTGATCGAAACGACAAATGACAAATACTTTTGTAATTTATTTTTTTAAGAATATTCATGCTGCTGTATTTTTATTTGGAATATTCTGAATAAAGATATCACATAATAGTTATTACAACATTGTATCTCAGTTTATCTCTGTTATTTTCATAAAGTCATATTAAAGCCTATAATACTTGAAAATACTCGGTTCTATATTTACACAGTTTCTTGCTTCAATTATTCAAATATCTATTTGTAATAATGAAAGAAAAATTTCATATGTCTCTCCAGTGACAAAATAACCTATTATTAATCAAGTTTGCGATTGTACAGCAACGCTTCTTCGATAAATAGGAGAAACTGTAAGCCAAACATGTAGATGGTAAACGTGATCGAATGTCGGTAAAAAAGTCATGTCAACATACTACAGGGTGAATCAGAGTAGTTGAACTCAAATTGAATTAAGTTTAAACCACAGAGTTGTGCGCGCGTAAATTATAATATTCTACGTTTACGTGTAGACAACGTAAACTATTGTATGGGCCGTAGTAGTAAGGCTGCAGCCTTTGACGTTGAGTTGTGAAAATTGTTACAAAATATTAAAAATGCATCTTTTTTTCGGTGCGCCCAACAATTCGCACGATGTATCCACCCATTCTGATCGCTATAAATCGATAATTAGGTATGAGGTCGATAATTTTCTCAGAAGATAAAATACTGGTTAAACTATTCTAATTCAGCCTGTATATCTTTGTCGAATTGTTTAATCAAAAATTTATAGCGAATTAGATTGTACATATGCACTCAGTGCGCACTAGTGCACATTAAAGCCGTCGTACACAACTTAAAAAAGTGTGTATTTAATATAAATATAAAAATGTGGATTAAAAACTATGAAATTCCCAATATATTTTATTATGCTATTAAGTAAAATTTATATTTTATAATTATTTTAAGCATTAAAGATCTAGCTTCGACCGTTTAGGTTACTTAGGTACTAGTTGATTGTGTTCTTACGCGGTCTAAAATAAAGATTGTCTATATTTTATAATTTTAAATATTTGCATTGACTATATATATATATATTACACAAATTAAATCAGTATATAATGGCTTTAATATGCATTAGTTTGCACTAGCGCGTCCAACGCTATTATATTCGCTATTATATATTATACCAAGACAAAGTAAATTAAAAAGAAAGATACACGCGAATAAAAAAGGCATTGCTTTAACATTTATTTACGTGATATTCGTACACAAACAATCACTTACTTCTACTTGAATTCTTATATCTACAGTTCAAAACAGTACTGTGTTTGCTGTTATTCAGCTAAACTAGAATAAATACATTGTAGCCTATCCTCTGGGAATATTATGGATTATTATAGAACTATGTCGGTTGCTGGGAAAACGCGACAGTTTCTGTCTATCTCTTTAGATTACCATGGACCTTTTTCGAAATCTAATGAACAACAAAGATAAATGGCTGTTAGATTACGTGAAGAAATCTGATATACTTTGAAGTTCCCGTTCGCGAAAGATTTCCTAATTTTGAGTATTGCCTAAAGTAGATTAACTATTCTAATCTATTTTCAGCAACCACTCCGAATAGTTCCATAATAGCTTCCCTAATGTCTTCAAATAAAAAAATATGTTCGCACGCACACACTATTCTCAAGAACTCAGCCTTGATCGCGACAAACGAATTATAATTGAATAAAAAGGAATATATAAGTCTTTTTAACGTACGAACGTATTTGCTGAGGTATAAATCAGAGATTGAAATGATATTCAATAAAATAATATACTAAAAATTAAAAAAAAAATCCCTTGGATAAGTCTCCTTTCTCGCGAAAATCAAGGACATTATAATAAAATATATATTATACTTTGTTAAATACTTTTAAATCATATCAAGTTTTTCTCCAAAATTAATTCGTAGAGTTTCAAACTGCTCTAACTTTGGACGAATTATGTATAATTTAATATATATTTCGATATAATAGAATTTAATCTAATCAATTTATGGATATGACAAGTATCTACAGGGTACGATCCATTTAGTGTTACAAATGCTTCATATTTGATTGATTAATCGGAACAAAGAATTTTACTAATTGACCAATCAAAAAATGCTTTAAAGTATCGTTAAATGTAGCATCAAATGTAATATCAGATGTAGCATCAAATGGATTATAGTCTATAGTTAAAATAAGATAAACATTATTAGATTCATATTCTTTCACAAATTCTATTAATTATTTATTAAGGATGCGTTGTACTTAATATTCGCAACGCTTGTAAGCATCAATTTCATTCTTGTTATTATCAAATGTTAAATGGAATATACCTTAAAATCATCTTTATCAGAGAACGTTACTTTGCGTTTGTACAGCAGCAAATATCCATTATCAAGAAAAATATCTTTCTTGATGATACGCGACAAGATGCAACAGTTCTTGTATTTATGATATCTTAAAACAGTTCTTGTATTTATGATGTCATAAAACGATTTTAAATACTGAATTTCGAATGTATATCATTTGTTGACAGTCTAAAGATTATTTCTACTCTGATACATTGGAAATAAATTCACTGAGTACAAATTGTTATTTCTGTAAAAAAAAAACATTAAATATTTATACATCAGCAAATACTTTTTCTACATTATTGAGAAAAATATCAACATTTTTTAGTTTTATCAGAGTTCAAATTAGTCTGATTATTATGAAAAAACAGATACTCGCACTTTTCACGCTTCCTTTTCCTGCATCGGTTTCTTACAAAGAGAAGCAGTCTCCTCTTCGTCCTCCGCTTTGCGCTTTTTTCTTACCAGATGTGATATATCGCTGGCAGGTTTCGACTTACTACTACTACTACCACTTCCAGAAGCCTCATTCGCTTCACCGTCACTAGAACATCCATTCAATCTCTCTTCTTTAATCTCTTTGAGCACATTGGCTTCTTTCTTCAGATCATTAATATCTGCGATTTTTTCTTGAATCTCTGGAAGAAGTTCCTGCAGTTCCTTGATCTCTCCTTCAACGGTGTAGAATGGATCATCAGATTGGGGTGGATCATCTTGCAAAGTCTTCAAATGCACAATCTTTGCTTCCAACAGCGCAGACGCCTGGTTGAATTGTTCAATGCTAATGTCAAAGTTGTTCGCCATCGCATGCGCCAATCCGAGCTGATAATGAATCTCGGCGATCGCACGATGATCGCGTGGAGTCATTTTCTCCAGAAGATTCAAACAGGCCTTGAAATCGATCAGTGCGCTTTCATGGTTGCTACCCTCCATCGCAACCTCGCCCAGAAGGCGATAAGCTTCAGCCAAAAACTTCCAGCCTGGAGGTCCGCGTTTTACTAACACCAATTTCGCTAGTTCTAAGACTTCCCATGCAATCTAGAAACAGAAATTAGATATTAGAATCATAACTGATTCAAAATTTATCAATAGATAGAAACGTTGAATTAACAATTAAACTTGGATAACTCAATTCGACAACAAGCAAAAGTATTCGATACAACTTAAGTGAGTCTTCTAACACATAATTAGTCTAGACTCTAGATAAATCACCTGTAGATTGTTGATTTCGTCCTCGTCATTTTCCTTTTCAACATCTTCTTCTTCCGCCTCTTCATCTTCTTCTTTTTTTCTGTTCAAACCACTACCAGAAGCTTCGCCATTATGCAGGTCAAAATCTCGACTACAGCCAGGAATTTCTTCTCTTTGCTTGTTCTGTTCTTCAATCTTATTGTCCACCATCTTATCAGACTCTTCCTTCTTTTCATCCTTTGCGAGTCCTTCAAATTCTTCAACTTTCGTGTCTTTTGAGTCCTTCGGTTCTTCATCCTCTTTCTCCTCATCTTTTATCTCTTGCTTATCATTCTCTTTGCCGTTTGATGTGCAAGAGCTACTTTCTGTATGATTGCCTTCGGTTACGGCTCCCTCCTCATTTTCTTCCTCCTCATCTTCACCTTGCTCATCCTGACTGACTTCCTCGGATCCGGGCACACCACCACCTAACACTCCCGCCTCTTCACGTGCCAGACCCAAAAGAGCTCGTCCGTAAAGTAGATAGAGTTCACCCATCTCGTCGCCGGTCTCTCCATGCTCCTGAGCAAGAAGCTCGCACGCACGAGCTAAGACGGCTACTGCGAGATGATAATCGCGTACCAGGAGGTGGCGTTTACCCTGAGAGATTGCTGTCGCGGCATCCTTGATCGGCACTTCCTCCGATACGTCGGCCATCTAAGAAACGAGAAAAAGAGAATATTTATATAGTATCATATAATTTGCATATATATTTTTAAAACGGTAACAAAAGCAAAAAATGTTAACAATGTACGCAAACTATATCGGTAAAATCAAAGTAAAATCGGTCAAGTGACGATAGAGAACGTTTCGCTTAGAATAGGAAATAACCAGAAAAGTCTGGTTATTTCCTATAAGTAATCGATAATAATCCGATAAGTAACCAGAAAAATCTCTATTAAGCTATGATCTTTTTACAACATCAAAAACTGAATTTAACGAATTTTTGTACCTCTTAATATTGTGTCGGCTTCAAATAATATGTATTTGTAGCATTATAGGCTCACATCAGATTACACATAAATATTTCTAAACCAGATAAGTTGAGAGAGAGGAAGAGGAAGGGAGGGAGGGAGGGAGGGGGGGAGAGAGAGAGAGAGAGAGAGAGAGAGAGTGTGTGTGTGTATGTATTAACGAATGTATATACAGGATGTCCCGTAAGTTTTTGCCAAGCGCTTTTGTGTAAATAGAGCGGACTAAACTGAGTCGAAAAGTCCTCTACCATTTTGCAATTTTCGCAATAGTTAATAAGATATTAATTACTAAATATTGCCGAATATTGGTCATCAATAATTTTTTACTCAAATACTATCAACTTTACAGAAAAACTGCAAGAGACAAAAGAGAAAATTTATTTTCTTCTCATAAAATTCAAAGAATTTTTTCAGAATTTTTTATCAACTTTTTAGTACTGCGTTTTCTTATTTTTAACAAGAGGAAATACGGTATTAAAAAATTCGGTAATTATTTAGATTAAGGAACACCCCGCCGATGACCTTAACCTTGACATATGTTGTCAAGGTCATGGCCCCGAGTGACCTCCGACAGATTTTAGGTGGCGGTCGTCCTTCGTTAAAAAGTTATTAACAAAAAAAGTTCAACTATATAACACGAGAATTCATTCCCTGCTTTAAAATGTTTGGTAGTTGTGCACTGTAGGGGATGCCGCGCCAACGACCGCGACCTTCACATATGTTGTCAAGGTCATCACCCTGAAAAACCTCCAACCCTTGATCTAAATAATTACCGTTTTTCTGTAAAGTTGATAATATTTGAGTAAAAAATTATTGAAAACCAATATTCAACGATTTTTAGTAATTAATATCTCGTTAACCATTGCGAAAATTGTAAAATGGTACAGGACTTTTCGACTCAGTTTAGTCTGCTCTATCTACACAAAAGTGCTTGGCAAAAACTTACGAGACACCCTGTATATAGATGCAAACAAGCATCTTTTCTCTCGAAAGAGATAAACATTAATTGTGGTGACTTGAAATTAAAATTCATTTTATCTACGAATTTAATTACTGTGCCGATCTTTGATCTACGACGACTTGTAAGGAATCTTATGACGGTATTCATAGGCCGGTATTCATAGGCTGCATTCAGCAGAGAAAGCAGATTTGCAACTGTTGTAAAATTCTTGAATATGATTGGTTTATACATTTAGATCCAATGAGGAACTAAGGGCAAGACCAATCATATTAAAGAATTTTATAACAGTTGCAAAACTGCTTTTTCTGCTGAACGCAGCCATTGTTAGTTCATATCTTCAAGACCGTCTTAAGTTCAGTCTTGAGATATCACGAACTAATCAGAGACCGGTATTCATAGTCGGTTCTTATTTCAAAACCATCTTAAGTAATGTCTTAATACGCTAACGCGGCTCTCTGATTGGTTCATGACTTTAAGATTGTACTTAAGACGGTCTTGAAAAATGAACTGATTATGAATACCGGCCAGACTTGAACATTAGCGTCTTAAGATTGGTCATGACTTCTTAAGATTGTACTTAAGACGGTCTTGAAATATAAAAATTGACTATGGCCGGTATTCATAATCAGTTCATTTTTCAAGACCGTCTTAAGTACAATCTTAAAGTCATGAACCAATCAGAAGGCCGCATTAGCGACTTTAAGACGGCCTTAAAATAAGAACCGATTATGAATACCGGCCTCTGCTTAATTCATGACATCTTAAGACTCTACTTAAGACGGTGTCAAATATAAGATTCGACTGTGAATTTAGTTTCCAATGTTTAGCGCGACGCGAGCTTTACTCGTATATGTAATTGTTTCAGAAGATGCAGAAGGGGTGAGTGGGTGTTAAGGTGGACATCCGCAGCATCCGCGGGTGGGGAAGGAGAGAAATCGGGTGGCTGTCTGTGGGTCGATTCGTCGTGGCGCTTCAACGTAGAAGGGTGGAGGGCGTCCGCATCGCGAGGATGCCGGGGAGAGAAAGCGAGAAAGAGCAGGTTCCAAGGGCATATGTCAGCCAGTAACGAGTCGGGAGACGCGAGCGTCGCGTTGCAGGCGTCGCCCTGGGCGCCGCCGTCCGAGAGCAGATGGAGCCGACCCGCGTGCCCCGGGGCCCCGCTTCGCGCCTCGTCTTTCTCTTCGTCACCCTCGTACTGACCGTCGCAGGTAAAAAGACGAAGAGACCGGCACCGCGTCCCGGAAGAGACTGACGTCTCGACTCGTGAGAAGTGTAAAGATCAACATAGTTTCTCTATTGATATATATATTTTTTGAAGAAGCTGGTGCAAAAGATGTATCTCACCAAAAAGTTGAGAACAAAATTATTCTAAATTGTTCAGCTTCAATTTGATTTTCAAAAAACTTTTCAACCCTCCCGTCTCATTCTTTTTAGAAAGGAAATTTTTATTATGGACCGGGACTTAATAGAAAAATAAGCAATTCAATAATTACATCTTCCTTTATCATTTCTCAGCAACGGGGCTGCTATGCAGTGCAATAATGTCGGACCACTGGGAAGAAATCAACTGGGACAGGGAAGATCTGATCCATGCAAACGTCAACCTCACGTGGTACCTGAACGGTCAAGTGGCAAGGCTCGAATCTTCCGTTAATCATCAAAATAAACATCGTGTCGCCAAAAGTTCAACCTTCTTAGTTCCTATGCATGGCGGCATTTGGATTATGTGTGTTTCATTGTCAGGTATAAACCGTCATTATTTTTATAATGTTAAAACTTATTAGACTTAGAACTGCACATATATCTTTTGTACACGCTTCAGGATTTAAATATATTATATTTTCACGACTATGAATACGGACCCTAATGTTTCCAGCTTATTCCATGACGTATTCAACTTACTAAATTATCATTACGGATGTTTTTAGTTGTGGCAATTTCAATCGTGATATTAAAACTAATAAATACTAAATATTGATACTAATAAAAAACTAATAATGTTATTATTAAATACACTGATAGAGTAATAATGAGAAAATAATTGATGAAAAGAAATGCAAATTAAAAGGAATTTTCTTTACAAAGATAAATAAAAATAAAAATTCGCGATCATTTATGGATGCAACGTTAAATCATGCTATTCTTTCTAATATCTAGATCTTATTATGATATGGATATAATCAACGTTTCGTATTTTCTTGCTCATGCTAATAGAAACATTATCGGCCTTATGAATCGGTATACGAATGAAGTTTGGATCTAATATGATATGGTATTGCTCAATCCACAAAAGCAAAAATCACGGTCACGCGATCGTAAGGATACTGTGCTTAAATTGTGCGATTCGACGGTTCGATATCTCTGACCAGAGTCAAGGTGGCATCTAAATATAGTCACGTGTACGTGCAATATAGACAAGGTAATATCTGACAAAATTCCAGCGTAATATATTTATTGCATTTCCACGAAACACGATAAGTATCATATCTTAGTCAATTTTTCTTTAAAGACATTATTTTTCATTAAAGTATAATAAAAACTGACTTCAAATAGACCAAGAAGTCCGTAAATAAAATATAGTAGAACTGGAAAATACTCAATATCTAGAAACACGATTAATAGAAAAAGTGCCCATTTAATGAAATGTTAAAGTATTTACGATGCCTAATGCTACTACACGGGCTTGATATACTACTTTTCGTTTAATCGAACGGGTGCAACCTTGAAGAGTACTTGAAAAATTCGGGGTCGTAATTGTCTCATTTAGTTATTTTTGCCGGAATTACGTTCATAAGATCTGAACACGCCAAGCACTGCCTAGTACTGCCTGCACCACCTTTGCGCGTGACATTTACATCCAGCCAAGGTGTTAAAATTTCCTACAGTCAAATCTATCAAATCAAAGAATATATCAAAAGTATGATAATGCACATGATATTTGTGATTTGGCAATTTAATTTCTTTTAATCGAAAGATAACGTTTAGAAATGGAATCTGGAAGAGCCTAAAAATTTTAATAAATTTTCTCAATAAAATTTAAATTAAAGAATTCTAATTCTATTTTCTGGCGATAATTTTGATCGATATCGAAAGTAACATAGTTTTCTATATAATTTTATTTATTTTAATGGAAAGAAACAAACATTAAATTATCAACGAATCATACTTGTTGTTCTAGAGGAAGAGATACAGCTGTTAAGTCAGGTGGGTTTCCCGCAAAAAAGATGCGTCAATTACTTAACACCAAGCGAAGCTCACGTAGAGGCGCGCGGAGCTTGGCAAAATCGTAAGTAAATTGTAAATAACATTTAATTGAAGCGCAACAAATTTTATTCTATAATAAACTATTTTATTCTTCGATAAAATATCGCTATATTTCATATGAATATTTATCACGAATTTCATTAATTGATCATTTTAATAATCTGCTTCAGGAATGCAAAATCTGAGTATCTCGTGCTCTCTGGTGTGTCTAATCATCTTAGGATGCGCTGCACTTATAGGATTTTTTGGATTATGCAGGCATCAGATATCGGCCGTGCTCGTGACAGGAGTAATGTATCTCCTTGCAGGTACAATTATCTATATTAATCACTTAGTAAACTAATCTAGATCATAATTTAAAATGTGATGTTGGAATAAAAAAAATATATCTACACTGAAAAAAAAGATTGGCTGCTGCAGCAAATTAGATGGTAAAATATGGCATAGCATTTTTAATTGGTTGCATCAGTCAATTTTTGGTTGTGTTAGCCTATTGAAATTCTATACTGACATTGCGGATAGGCTAACGCAACCAAAAGTTGGCTGTCGCAACCAAAAATTGCTGCAGCAGCCAATCTTTTTTTTCAGTGTATGAACTTAATTGCCATGTATGTATATAGCGCAGCTATTAAAGTATTAAACAATGGTGATTAAGCTAGGAATCACTCTATTTCATTCTAGCAACATTCGCGCTGTTCACGCTCACGATCATTCACTTCAAGAGAGTTCAGGATCGCGGGACCAAATCAATAGAAGATGGCGTAATCGGTATGCCTGTTCTTCGCAGCATTCTCAAGGCCAGGAGAGTTACTACCGCATGGAGTATGGACTTGGGATGGGGTGGAGTCACCCTCTGTGCCCTTGCATCAGTAGCCTGGATCCTTCTGAGTAAAATCATGCGTTTCAGTCCGATCGCTGCCATGATAGCGTAGCAGTGGGACGCCTTCGAGGTCTAAGGTCATTTCTGAGAGTTTCGATGTTTTACGATTTCGATGTTATGCGTTTCTTTCAGCTAACATCTTGATATTTTTCTCAAGTATCAAGTTGGCGCAAGAGATTTGTTTCATAATCGAGTTGTGCTGTAATCTTCTACAAGACACAACAAATGCTTTTCAAAACTACACGATTTCGTCTTTAATTTTACTTGGTAAATACAACAAACTGTTTGCATCAACTTAATAATCTCGAGTGTTTATCTCCTGTTAAAATATAGATTCCAAGAGTATGAATTTCCAAGATTTGAGATAATCATATTTATAGGAATTGAAATCTTCTGAAACCTTGAAAAGAATCGCAAATTGCAATGGAGAACTATAAGATAATACTTTTTGAGAAAGTTGAATCCAGAAATGACCCTCTCGAAGGCGATCGTGTCATGTGCCTATTTTATATAATTGATATCGTTTGCATAAATATTCGCTCTCAATCGAAAAAACTTGAATTTAAGAAGATAAAAAGTTTTAAAGCGCGCCTGATTGATCGACGCTTTGTAGAATCAGTGAATGCATTTAAAAATTTATATTCTTCTGCATTCAATTTATTTACTGCAAGTAATTAAATAAGCTCGCTAAGAAAACACAGCCCGAGACACAATTGAAAAATAAAGACAATAGAAACAGGCAATAACAGAGCTCAATCTATCAAAATATTCCATGTATTCTTATATACATTAGTTCTTGATAACTTTGATAAATTGAAATCTGTTATTTGCTGTTTCTATTACCTGCTTCTATTACTTTTTCGATTATGTCTCAAGTTTAAAAGACAAATGAGCAAGCCTAATATACTCATATAAAAAAACAAGATGTCATAATATAAGAAGACAAACGTTTTCCCCCTCATTTTTTCGGCTGATATTCTTGTTGGTGCAGGTAACCCTGGTGAAAATAAAAATCGGAGCATAAGCTGAATGTAAAGGAAGAGTAAATCTGGAAACACAATGAAAAACACAGACAATAGGAATAGGGAATAAGAGATTTGAACTTCAGAAAGCGTCCATTCTGTATACATGGTTTCTGATAGGTTGAAATTTGTTCCTATTGTCTGTGCTTTTCATTGTTTCCAGCTTAACAGAAGTGCAATGAAACTTCTCCCAAGAGTAAATTGCTGAACATAAAACAAGCGGTTTTTTTCTTTAAATTTCTTTAAATAAAATAAAATAAATCTTTAAATAAACGCTTCTCGCTGTTTCTTATGTTTCCTAGAAGTCTCGTGGACATTTTCTGATATACACATTCTATAATAAACTATTAGTAATAAATCAGAAGTCAAAAACTAAAAATTGACCATCATAGTCAATTATTCTTCTTACATTTGACTGTATGATTGATCAATTTTTAGCTTCTGATTTATTACTAATGGCTTATTGTAGAATGGCCAATACTCTTCCTTTACATTTGGCTTATGCTCTGATTTTTATTTTTGCCGGGGAAATGACTCAGGAATTAGTCTCAAATATGCTACAAAGAAATATAACAAATAATGCTTATTATGAATGTTATAGACTAGAATTAAATTAGTTTTTGAAACTTGATTCGGTTTTTATTAATATATTTATATAAATATTGCTATACTCGCGTAAATATTCGCTAATCAATTTGTATGTTGCAGACATCTGAAAAAAAAAAACGTAAAAATTTTAACTGTAATTATATTTTTCATAATTAATTTCTCTTTTTCATACAATCTCCGCATTTAATATCAACTTTTGATTGCCATTCTGCACAATCACGCCTCTTATTTATATAATGAAAACAATAGTAAAAAAGTTGTTTATATCAGAATATAATTTTCTGATATATAGTTGCCTATAATGTAATCCAAACGCCTCACTATTAGAACAATAAGTATATCCGTAAAGTGTGAAATAAAATTGTTAGTAGAGTATACAGGAGCGAGGTAAATAAAGTGCAACATATTAATTTCTCTTAGAAAAATGATATAACTACTAAATGTCCCCCTCGAGAATTATGTACTTGTTAATTCACATATTTTGTTTTGTGTGTGTCCTACAATTTCAATATTTTGAGAAATTAATCACGCTTTAAATAGCACCTCAACCTGTATACAACTTTTTTCAGCTAAAAAGAGCTTGTTTTTGCTACAACTTGTTCCAGCGATTATATAGGTGAAGTAATTACGCATAGTATATATGTACATCCTGCATGAAAGGATCGCAACTGCATTTCGTCCATTAACAGTTAAGAATTCGCTCGATGCTTTTGTGGAAAACATTTTTCTAACGACACATTCTCAATTGTTGTATTTTTTTATGCGACCTTTGTTGTTTGTTATATTGAAACTGACAGCAATAAAAATACTGCAAAAAATCATTGTATGTAATATTGTATATTAAAAATTGTTTATATTTTACCTTCGTCATTTTTAAGATTTTAGCACGTAATTTTCCATACTGATGCTTGATACTATGTAAAAAATCTCGATTTCATCATTATCGGAAAAAAAAATGTTTTACATAGTTATTTAATTTCTATTAAAAATTAAATAACTATGTAAAACATTTTTTTTTTTAAATAGTTTATTAAAACTTAAACATTAATTTTCAATTAAAATACATATTATTAGATATTACATAAATAAATATAAAAAGTATAAATTATAAGTGTCTAAATTTTTAAAAAATCGAAAAAATACCTGCGCGTAACAATATGCTACTAGTTTTTTACATTTCAATCTTGATACAGAAAATTTATCATTTTAGCAAAGTAGAAAAACGTTCATAGCTTCAAAATTCGTCATGAAAAAACCCGTAAAAATTATAATAAATTTATTCAAATAATTTATTGTCTCGTTACAATTCCGCGCGTTTACTCTGTCGTGATACAACAGCTCTCCTAACCTTAAAAATGTCCTTCACAACGGTTTACTTCACTATCGAAAGAATGACATTCGTCATTTTCCTCAAACGTAAAGAAACCCTTCTTCTATATGAGTATCAAAGAACACATTTAACATTTAATATGATATTGGCTGCGTTCAGCAGAGAAAACAGCTTTGCAACTGTTGTAAAATTCTTTAATATGATTGGTTTATACGTTTAGATCTGTAAGGAACCAAAAGCAAGAACCAATCGTATTGAAGAATTTTACAACAGTTGCAAAGCTGCTTTCTCTGTTGAACGCAGCCATTATCTCTCTCAAAATCTTTTTGCTTTCCTTCTCTATCCCGAACTATTTTATGTTAAGTGCAGAAAGTGTAACAAAGTGTACTTGATAGTTGTTATTTACCACATTGATATCCAACATACCTAGTGTGTGCCTTCCAATAAGCGACACAAATGACACGGTGTAACAATGGGTGCATTCAGTACTATAATCGCTCACTGAGTGCTCAGTGAGCTCTTGTACCTGTTTGGTCTATATTTTTAGCTCTAATGGAATATGCCAATAAGATGCAAGAGCTCAATGAACGGTCGTGCTTCTGGATGCACCCAATGGATCATTACATCCTTATTGTTTGCCGATGTTAACAAAGATGACACGATCACTGTGTCGCATTGTGTCGCTTGTTGGAAGGCACACACTATAGTCACAAATAATATTATTGCAAACAAAAACAGGATACTGTCCCCTTCACCCTCGTTAATTACTTCTACAACTTACGAACCTCGAGAGATATTTAAATTGTTGAGAAGAAAAAATGAGTAAGAATTTGATACCTGTCTGGTTACATTGATGTGATAGAAAGGCAGATTTTTTTCAGCGAAACGTTAATCACGTCGTGAGCACGTACGTACCTTGATCAGTTTCTCAAAACGGTGCTCCACAAGACGAAATCTTTGAGTTCACAAGATGCAAGAAACGTTTGCTAGTACGATGTGAATAATTTCCGTTATTACACGCGTAAACTGCGTAACCGGTACGCGGGCAAACTTTACGAGAACTCGGAGTATGGTCATCGATAACGAATGCTTACAGAGATAGTCGAGCTGATGGCAGCTAATGAGCGCGTTCAAGTCACGAAGCGGCTAGTTTGCTCGACGAGCAAATGAACATGATTGGTTGTTAACAAAAGGCCAGTATTCATAGTCCGTTCTTATTTCAAGACCGATTCGTATGTACGTGACCGGACAAAACATCCGGTTGTAATAATTATTATCGTTTGTATTTCGTATGAAGAGTTTTGAAGTGCAAATAAAAAGGTTTGTGAGTCATTCTATTAATTACAATTAATCATTCTTTTTTTGACCATGTACTTGACCGAAATAATTAACCGGATCTAAATTCAACAAAGTTTATACATGGAATCGTTTGTATTTCGTATGAAGAGTTATGAAGTACCATTAAAAACATTTGTTGATTTTCTATATTTTCAAGAAGATGATAAGGAACAGATGTCAAAATCAAAGACCTTTAATTAAAATAAAAAATAAAATATTTCCTACCTCTAAGTAATTACATAAACTTATTTAAACTTTAATAATAAAATTAATTAGAAAAAGAAAAATCTTCTACATTGCACTTTTTCTTTGTACTTATTCTTCTCTTTGTACTTCTACATTGTATTTTTTTAATGTAAAATTATTTAATATTATGTTCTTTAATATAAATATAAAAAAAAGAAATTCAATAAAGGAAGTTCAGCTAAAAAGAACAAGGCTTTTGATTAAAATCTTATCAGTTAAAAAAAAATGTAAAAATAAAATATTTATTTGCCGAATGTTTTTTCTTCAACTCTCATTTCAAGTTTCATCAGTTCATTCATAATGTTATGTGTTGCTCTTAAATAATATCGCCGGTCTAATTTTTCCAATCGCGTTTTAATAAAGTTACAAAACGTCAAAATTCGAATTTATCAAGATCAATTTTCTTTATAGACCTTCTTAACTTTAGAAATAATATTAATATTTTTTCTGATTTTTTTCTCTTTTGTAAGCCGCATGACGTGGAGTTAAACTTCGATTAGGTGATGATGTTGACAAAGGAAAGAAAGTATCATGTTGCGCAGTTTGACGGTGGTGATAATAACACACACATACTGTATTTATTATCCTTCACAGCTACGGAAAATAAAATAGCAATAATGTATTGTAACAAGTCTCACAAGTAAACCTCGGAGAATGTCAGACACGGATTTTTCTCAAATTTCTCGGTTATTTGTTATTTAAAAATCAATTTAAGAGCTAAAAATAATAGATTTCTTTACATTTAAATGTATTTTACAAACAATTGTAAAAAATTTAAGAAAAGTCAGCATTTGATGTCCCATGTTTGGTGTTGAGATATACTGCCAGCATATGTCATAAAAATATAAATATTAATTTTATTACTTCTTAAGTAAAGGTGGGGAAGTTCTGTCTGTTCTATGTCAACTTCATTTGTATTCTTTCTTGGATCCAGATGATTTTTCATTTATGTCTTTGACCATTTGTATGTTGCTAAACGTCCTAAAAAATATTAATGAAAATATTTTTGTTACACATATTTATATAAATACATTTGACATTCAAGTTGGACACGAAAGTTTAAATTAGAATTTAATTTAGCATAATTTAGAAAAGGTTTTCCGAATCTACATGTATATGAACTTTTTTTATTATTTAATATCTAAGATAAGTTTATAAAGTTTGACCTGATTTCTTATAGCGTTTGCGAATGGAATGGGTTTGAACCTGACCCGGGTCGGATCAATGACGTCACATGCTCTACTTTGATTTCTGATTGGACGAGGTCATAATATTTTCGGATCAAACATGGGTTAACCGACCTGGGTCGGGTTCAAACCCACTGCGTTCGAAAACGTTATTAATCTCATTCTGTATATATAAGGTGTTTGTAAACTTCCGAGACACCCGTCATGAGCAGGTAGAGCGAATCGAACTGAGTCGAAAAGTTTTGTACCATTTTGCAGTTTGCGCAATAGTTAACGAGATATTAATGTTTAAAGATAGCCGAATAAGAGCGTCCGGCCGGCTTACTGCTGCCGGAAGAACGGCCCACCGTCCCCACCAACGCATGACGCGCCGACCGGGCCGCGAGGAGCGGGGATGACCTGGGGACGTTGGATTGTACATTCGGCAGCAGTAGACCGGCCGGACGCTCTTATTCGGCTATTTTTAAACATTAATATCTCGTTAACTATTGCGCAAACTGCAAAATGGTACAAGACTTTTCGACTCAGTTCGGTCCGCTCTACCTATTCATGATGGGTGTCTCGAAAGTTTACAAACACCCTGTATATATAGAATGAGATTAATAGCGTTTTCGAACGCAGCAAGTAGAAATGATAGATTAATATGTTAAATATATTATATTAAGTAATAAGTGTAACAATTTTTAAACTTACAGCAAATAAAATGTAAAAAGAATGTAAATATACATACCGAGGACTTTACCAACTGCTTCCCAAGCTTTTTGTATTACGTTCATTCCTTTCATTTTTATATCTAATCTTCGGTTCCACAAACACGGCCTATCTTGCACTTCTAATATTAGATGACCATATATGGTCATATCAGAAATCGTAATAAGACACCGCGATTTCTTTATATTCGGCTGCCTAATCGCAGACCGGGGAGTTCGTTTCGATAAGCAAACATAACACACGTTACGCGCGCCGTGAACGCCGGGTGTCACATTACAACCGCGATACCGACCGTTTTGATTATCATTGCGAGCGTGAATGCAACGATTAAGAATAAGCTACGAAATACTAACGCGAATATTAAATATTATAATTAACCGAATAATTGTAAAAGGGGTTAAGAAAGGAGGTTGTTTTCAAATAAAATTGTGAAAAGTTGTAGTGTTCTCTCGTCACCCCTCGTGCACCATCCTCAGCGCTCCTCAAGTCCCAACCCCTTCAGGCAGACCGAATCCCCAAAATTATATCTTGTTGCACCGAAAAATACAACATTGGATATATTTCATTCTTATTATCCTGCGGTGAATTTCTTTCTTTCAGTTACAATAGTTTTATTTTCTAATTCTTATTATCTTAAAGGCCTTTGCAAATTTCTCTGAATCATTACTGGCGTTGAACCATGATGGATTCAGAATAATATAGCTATTTAGGATAATAAGCGAGAATTTGTCTTAAACGTGAAAGTGTGCAGAGTTTTGTTAAATATGTATTTCGTTGAAGATGGCCTCAAATGTGGCTGAAACGTACAAAGTTCATAATAGCAAGTCAAATGCAACGTTCTTATAAATTTAACTCTTTGGATGTCTGCACGCCAAATAGTTGTGTTCTCATTAGCCTAATCTTTTGTTAATCTTTTATTTTTTGATTTTTGCTAAAAAAAATTACAGTTTTTTAAGTATAGTATATTGGAACTGTATTTTATTGTATTTCGAAGCTATTTAGTTTTAATTAAACAAAATTACGCTTTAACAAATAGTTTTAGGAAAACAGTGTTTTATATAAATCCGAAAATAATAACAATGTTTAATAGTTCATCACGTAATCACAATTTTATTTCAACCGTTTATTATATCATTTTGTCTACAGAATAGGATTTCTTAGAAGTAGTTAATGCTATTACAAAATATAGAGGTTATTATGTATTAGGTATTATTCGATTTTTGTTACTTTAAGATATATCTCGTTGGGTTGTTGAACAAGTATTGAGGAAATATATTTTAACTTTTTTGGGGTTTTTTCACAAACTTCGAATTTATAATTTCGTAAAAAAGTAATGAGTCCCATTTTGATTTGTAATATGCCAAATCGTTCACCTGTAAAAAGTTAATAATAATGACAAAATGATAATAATAATAAAATGGTGATAATAGTAATAAAAACTGTTACTGATATAACAAAAATAGAATTATTATCACTATAACAAACAACTATCCCGAAAAAGTGATCTCACTCCAATCACCTTGATCTTGACATACACATATTATCAATAGAGCAAAATATGTACAGGGCATTTTTTTTTATTTGACTAATAAAGAAGTAAACTAAATACAAATTTGTTTTATAAGAAATTATGCATTTTGAGCCCTATATATTACAGCATATTTTTGCATATTTCACACATAAAAGCATGTTTTTGCATATTTCGCCCACACATGCACAATATTTATTTACATATTTTATCTATTTTTATTGTATATTTCACATCGTATTCTTATTTAAGTTTATGATTGCGTTATTATAAGTAAAAAAAGGATTTGCCGGAGTTGCCTTACAACAAAAATAAGACGTTATTCATTTTTTGTTAACAATTTTTTAACGAATAATGAGCGATGGCTAAAACCTCTTGGAGCTAACGCTAAATATTCTTGAAATATTCATAAAAGGTTCCTAAAATCCCCAAAAACTATTCCAAGAGTATTCCGAATATTTCAAAATATTTACGGAATGTAAAAGCAACGTTCAAATACCAAGAATGTTCCGCAAAATTTTAACTCTTCCAGAAATTCCATGTTCAGTCGTCCCTGTATCAGGATTGAACGTAAAATTTTGCTTTGAAAAACTCATACTTTCATCTTGGAGTCCTTGAAGCCCAATTTTGGGGCTTACTTTACGGGCGAAATGCTGCACTCCTTATATTCTCTCCCAAATGATTCTTGTTAATGAGTAAATGCTCTCCGCTACGGCCCTCTGTCCGCGCAGATGTGTACTGCTCGCTCGCTCGCGATATATTTTGTGATATATACAACGAGTTCATACAATATTCTGAACATTTCATCGACATTTGTATATTTTGTGACGATTCTTTCACTGTGCCAGAATATTTGGCACATTGGAAATACGAATCGAACTTTCTGTGAATATTTAACTGGGTACTCAGGATCATGACAACATATACCGAGGTCAGTCATCGAAAAGGTCTTCCCCAATCAGCATACTTATCGTCATAATTTTTCTTTCCTATTTTTACATTTAAACTACATAAAAAAGACCTGAAGATATGATCTTCATAAATAATCACTATATATTGT